CAGTTGTTGCACTGACAGTGTTGGGTCACACGCTTTGATGCAATGCCATTGCTCTCCTGTCTGCCACACTGCCGTTGCAGTCGAGGTCGCGGAGGAAGCGTCTGTGAAGGCTGTTGGTCCTGGCTGTGGTCTGTCTCTGACTTTCGGTGGCATGTCCATGTCGACGATGGTCAGCAGCTGAGTCCAAGGTGGCTTGGCGGAGTAGGTGATTTCTCCTCCGAAGCCTGTGAATGCAAGGGCTAGGTGCTCCGATATTGTTGTTGATTCTGTCACCGGTTGCTTGCGAAACGGAAGGTGGGTTCTTGTTGGCTCTGTTCCTAGGTGTTTCAGGGCGAATTTTCTCCCTTTTATGATGAGGTTCGCGATGCATTCCGTTCCTGGGGAGAATGCTTGAGCTGGTCTTCCGAGGACCACCCATTGGATCAGTCAGGATTTCTCGGTAGGTCCTTGGGCCAATGCTCCCACTCCTCCTTTCGGCGTGAAGTGGATGTACAGGTCCAGGGGCACTGCTGGGTTCTACCTGGCAAGCGTGCCAGTAGACATCTGCTTCTTGATGAAGTCCAAGGAGCTCTTTGCTTGCGGTGTCAGCTCCTTTGGTTCCCAAGGCTGCTTCCCTTTCAGGAGGTCGTATAAAGGGTCCATGACCTCCGGAGGAACCAGGATGATGTTGCGAAGCCACTGCAGTGATCCTACCAGGCGCTCGACGTCGTGGAGCATTTTGATGTCTCGGTTCACTCTCACCCGTGGAGGGGTCACGTAGGAGCTTGTGATCCCTACTCCCAGGAATGTCACGCAGGGTCCTTTCTTAATCTTTGCGCTCGCGATCTCAAAGCCGCTGGCTTGCAGGGTTTCTGTGATTGTGGACACCAGGTGATCTACCTGGCTCGTTGATGGAGCTGTGACTAGGATGTCGTCCATGTATTGAATGATGGTTGCGGTGGGATAGGAGTGTCGCACTGGCGTCAGCGCTTTGTCCACGGAGATCTGGCATATAGTCGGACTGTCCACCAAGCCTTGTGGTAGCACTCTCCACTGGAAACGCAGGTTTGGCCGCTTACCGTTCGGGAACACAATGGAAAAGGTGAATCGTTCTCTGTCCTCGGGGTGTAAGGGTATGGAAAAGAGACAGTCTTTGATGTCCAGCACTGCGCATGGCTGTCCCTCGGGTATAGCTGAGTTTGCGGGTATCAGTGTTTGAACTGGACCCTTGGG